ACCTCTTGCACTTCGTCACTCGTTTTTTTTGTGGCACCGCTCGACGCACGTCTTGCACTTCATCACTCCTTTTTTTTTTTTGTGTGTGTGTGTCACCGCTCACCGGTAGATTGTCAATACAGAAACCGTGTAGTACCACTTTAAATTGCACTGCAAGGGTCCTATCCTTCTTTAGCCCCATGATGTGATGTGGGTAGTGTACGATGTCTCACTTATTAAACCCAATAATTGGTCCCAATATAACAAAATATTTTATTGATTTTCTAATTAAAATAACCAGTTTATAATTACTAGACCGCCCAGAGTCCAATACGCACACCGTTGGCCTCGCCACGTGGACGGTGCCGACCTTGCTTCCTCTAAATTGAACGAATATTCTATTCTACTAGCAACGATTTCTCAATTTTTCTTTGAGAGGATACAAACTTTTTACGATTGACATGAAACTATTCTCTGTTCTAATTTTAAAGATGTAATTCTAAATCAGATACAAGTCGAACTATATATATCAAGTACAGTATCAATATTTATTACTCTCTAAATAGATGTAGAGATGGGTTGTCACGACCCCTGCTCAAGTGCTCCTTCAGAGGAGGCTCCTTAAGAAAAAAAAAACAGCTCTGTTTCTTCGTCCAAAAACGATTTTGGCTCCTCTAATATTCACTAGAAAGCAATCTCCCCATTTAATATGACTTCTTCTTATTTAGTATGATAAATATATGTATCTTTTTATTCAAATTTGGCTAAACTTAACACAGTTTGCTTTAATACTGTGCTAAAATTATATATGTATTTTTTAGAATGGAGTGAATATCATTTATCAGACTAAAACAAAACCATTAAAAAAATGTGCGAGGAACATGCTTTTGTCTGGAGTGAGAGCAGAGACACCTTTCTGCCTGCCTCCTTCCTTTCTCTCCCTTTCCACGGTGACACTGACCTAGCAAATGGCCAAATCCAACACCTCATCTGATCTGGCAGGCTGGCACAAGCACAAAACAGCACAAAGGTTAGGTCCAGGGCCCCATGGATCGAAAGTGCAACAGATACTAGTAGCACCATTCAGAAAGCTGTAACAAATCCGTAGGGGCAGTGACCAGTGAGTGAGTGTAGTGCCACCCAGGATCGATTGTGGCGTCTCGAATCTTGATCCTTGGTTATGATGATGATTGCCACTGCTAACCTGGTTGCAAATGAGGCTTGTTAACGGTTACTAGACCTTGTTTAGTTGGCAAATTTTTTTTGGGAAACGGTACTGTAGCACTTTCGTTGTTATTTTGCAATTAGTATTTAATCATAGTCTAGTTAGGCTTAAAATATTAAATAATTTAAATAAAATATGTAATTAGTTTTATTTTTTATTTATATTTAATCGCTCGTACAAAACTGTGAAAGGTTTGATGTTTTAAAATTTTTTTGCAAAATTTTAACAACTAAACAGGCACCGGCATACGAGCAGCCAGCAAGGCGTCAACTGGCTGGCATGGGGTAGGTCAAACACACTAAGCCCTTGTTTAGTTGGATCCCAAAATCCAAAAATCTTAAAAAATTTTCACATCAAAATTTACCAACAACAACTAAATTAAATGTAGGCAAAAAAAAAACTAATTGCATACGAAATTACGACCAGCAAATTAGTCAACTGTTGGCATGGGGTAGCCAAATAAAACAAACACAAAAAAAAAATCCAAAATTCATGCTGCTCACGCTTAACCTGTCAGGGAAATAGTACCGGGCTCCTGATCTTCTGTAACAGCTGTCCCTGTGTCTGATCTTGGGGTCTCCAATTCCAATTCCAAATGGGCAAACACAGTGGCGGATCCAGAAATGGACCAAGAGGGAGCTAAATGATAGAACACTTCAAATGCTACCATCTCTACGATGATAGATATAACAAAGAGCATAAAATCGTTATATCGATTCAACGTGCATCATTCTTACTAAAAATATTTTTCTATTCTAATGCCCTACAATATGACTGAATTAGTGAATCACTAAATACTAAAAATCGAAAAATAGAATGAAGCAGGAGTATCATTGAGTCACTGTACTAGCAAGGAGCACCTCGCATGGTCGCGCTTGGGCTAGGCACCTGGCCTGCTAGGCGGCTAGTGGCTAGGGCCTGTCGGGCTAGCTGCGGCTTGTTCGGCTGCCGCCGCCGACTTGACCTGGGCGGCTCTGTGGTTGGGCACTGGGCAGTTGGGCTTGGGGGCTGCCATGGGCGCGCCCAACGCCTATAGGGGCCACACCGCCACGAGGGCCAGGGGGTGGGCGGCGATGGCGGGACTGGAGGTCTGGAGCGGCTGAGGCGTCGAACGGGAATGGGGAATAGTCGGATCGAGTGTCGCAATGTGGACGGGAATGGGGGAGGCACGGTCCTTGCTGGTGCGGATGATTTCCTGGAAGTAGGGTTTACATAGCATGCTTGTTCGGCTGGCCTGTGGAGGGCTATTGGGCTGGGCTGTTGAAGACCTACTCCCTGGTGTTTTAGCTCGGGGGGTTCGCATCCCCTGCAGCCCCCCCTCTGGATCTGCCCCTGGGGCGACATCATGTACGCAAAAGTTAAGCCTTGAGATTGAGAAGGCTGAACATGTAGCACAAGGCTGGTATTTTTTTTCCCAAATATAATAGGACGCACATTACACACTACACACTCATATCACACACATACACACGTGCGTGTCCATACACACCATTGAGGGCGTCCTCAGTGAGGCCGCAGAAATCGCCAACGATTTGAGTTGCAGAAACAATAAAAAACAAAGTGAGAGAGTGCAGCGCTTTGCATGCCGTGAGATAGAAGTTGTTGAGGAACATGCGAGACTAGCGAGGACGCCGGGGCATGTTCGGCTGGTATTAAAGCCGGCTGAAGCTATTTTATTGTGAGAGAAAAATACTGTAGATTATAGCTGATAAGCCGGCCGATAAGTTCAAGTGAACAGGCCTTGAAGGTCGAGAACCAGAAGGTTCTTGTTTTTGAATGCGAAGAAAGAAGAAAACAAAGACGACAATTGAAGATGCTGTTCTACTGTACGTGCAACTCCAATTTCAAGTCAGTCGTGCCGTCGTTCTCGGACGTATCACGTGCTCCTAGTACAATGGGGTGAGGAGGAGGAAGCAGCCTGGAACTGAGCTCAACAGTTCGACCAGTCACCACTGTACGTGCAACTCCGATTTCAAGTCAGTCGTGCCGTCGTTCTCGGACGTACTACATGCTCCTAGTATAATGGGGAGAGGAGGAGCAATTTCAAGTCAGTCGTGCCGTCGTTCTCGGACGTACTACGTGCTCCTAGCACAATGGGGAGAGGAGGAGGAAGCAGCCTGGAACTGAGCTCAACCGTTCGACCAGTCACCGCCACGGCACGGCGGCGCCCCTCCTAGTACAATGGGGAGAGGAGGAGCAATTTCAAGTCAGTCGTGCCGTCGTTCTCGGACGTACTACGTGCTCCTAGTACAATGGGGAGGGGAGGAGGAAGCAGCCTGGAACTGAGCTCAAACAGTTCGACCAGTCACCGCCACGGCACATCCTCACCATCCTCGGAATCTGCTGGCTGCATTCAATACGCCTTCCCAGAAACAAGAACTGTCAATGCATCCCATCCAGCCCTCAGAGTCCTGCCCAGATCCACCCCATCAAACCATCCGGTCCAGTCCAGCCGTCCAACACCAGCTCTTGCCCGCCCTCCACCGTCTACCCTCTACCGAGCACGAGCAGAGCGCGGTGCCTCGCCTTTTGCTTTGGACGCTTGTGATTAGTAGTAGAGTGATTAGGAAGGCAGCAAATCAATACGGCTGATAAAAAACCAGCGATAAACTAGGTGTAAAGCGGCAGTAGGTGTTTTCGAATTCGCAATCTTTTCCTGATCCCCCGCAAGCTTACAAACCCCCCTGCTTGTCCTGTTGCGCCCCGCCGCGCCGCCGCTGGGTACCGAGAGGGCCAGCAGCCATATAAAGAAGATAAGAATAAGAATAAACACCAGGGAGAAGAGCACAAGCAGAGGAAGTGAGGAAAAAGGGGGCATAAAAAGGTGAGGGCCTTTTCCGATTGCTTCTCGCCGCACTCGCGCACATCTTTTCCGCCCCGCCCCACCTCAATCTCCCTGGATTCTCTGGAAGGTTCCTGCTTTTCGAGAGGTGGGTGGGAGAGAAAACCCGCAGCAGCCTGAGCGCTTCTGAGGAATTCCTGTCTCTTGTTTCCTGGATTTTTTTTCTTTGTGTGCGGGTTTCGTTTTCGTGCCGCTTTTCTCTTTATTTTAGTGCGCTTAGTGCGCTTGCGCTGATGATGTGATGTGCTGGGTTTTCAATACTTGCATCCTTTTCGCTGCATTTCTTTAGCGCAAGTTATTCGAACAAGCGAGCGCTGCTTGCGCGAATCTTTGGAGTGAAGCTCCCATCCCGTCAGCCCTCTGCTTGTCCCTGTCTCGCCAATTCTGGGATAAGAAAGAGGAACCGGTGAAGGTCTGGTCTTTGATTCCCGAAGATTTGCCTCCGAATCTTCCCCGAAATCTGAATCTTTTTTGCGTCCATGGAGTCTCTTGCTGCGTGCCACTCCATCTGAGAGTCCAGTCTAGCGCGAGACGCTAGCAGCAGCAAAGGTGAAGTCTTCTTGTGTTCTCTTTGCTAAGCAATCTCCAGAAAATGTTGCGGATTTCCGGGTTTCCCCCCCTTTCTGAATGTTTGATGAGGAAGAAAAGGTGGCGAACTTTGAGTGCTGCTCTGGCCATCGGCGGTTTCTTTGCTGCTTTCTCCTCCCCCTCGTGAATCGCTTGAAATTGCTATTACATCTTTTTAATTCCCTTAACTACGCCACCTCAAATCCGAGTAATTAATAGTAGGAAGCTTCCAGGAAAGAGGTGGAGCATTTTAGGTTTATAATTCGATTCCTCTTTCTCCTGTCGCAGCAGTCCAGTCGGAGAAGCGGAAGTTCGCGTTGCGTTGCTGATCCAATGGGAGAGACGAACGAGCAGCCGCCGCCGCCGCCAGTGGCCGCTCCGCCGCCCATGATGGCCATGATGGTGCCGCCCGTCGGCGCGGGCGCCATCCACCCGCCCCACGAGCAGTTCCACCATCTCAACTACTGCGTCCACTCGAATCCGTCCTGGGGTAAGGGCATGAGCAGAGGCACCCTGACCTGCTTTCTTTTGGTGTTTGTACTAGATTAGAGTCATGGAACTCAGTGCTTCTGTGTGTGTAGATATGGGTAATGTTTGCTGTGTTCTTGTAAATGGTGCTTCTTGTTATTCCCATTACATATCTGGATATAGAGTCAGGAAGCTCAATGCTTTTGTGTGTATATATATGGGTAGCGCTTGCTCTGTTTTTGTAAATGCTGTTTCTTATTATCTGCTGACATATTTGGATAGTAATTTTGACAATGTCGGTTGAAAGATTTGACGTTTTGTTGCCGGTTAGATGTTATCTGCACATGCTATTGGCATGTTGAATGGATTTTGAGTGGCGGGTGTCGATTTTGAATGGTGGGTTTCCGTTACATGTGCCATGTCCGTATTATACTCGACATGCTAATAAATGTTTCTTTTCTCTTACTTTTGTTCGCCACCGCCTTAATCTAGGGTTTTGTGAATTCCCTCTGGTATATTTAAGTTGATTGATTGACAGGCAGGCTCAATGTTTTTATGTGTATGTATATATGTAACGTTTGCTCTGTTTTTGTAAATGGCGTTTCTTATTATCCCCTGACATATCTGGATAGTAATTTTTACTATGTCGGTTGAAAGATTTGATGTTTTGGTGCTGGTTAGATGTTATCTGCACATGTTGAATGGATTTTGAGTGGCGGGTTTCCGTTACTTGTGTCATGCCCATATTATACTTGACATGCTAATAAATGTTTCTGTTCTCTTACTTTTGTTTGCGACCTCCTTAATCTATGGTTTTGCGAATTCCCTCTGGCATATTTAAGTTGATTGACAGGCATGCTTTGTTTTGGTGTACTAGATTAGGGTGAGGGAGCTCAATGCTTTTATGTGTATATATAGGTAACGCTTGCTCTGTTCTTGTAAATGGCGTTTCTTATTATTCCCCTAACATATCTGGATAGTAATATTGACTATGTCGGTTGAAAAATTAAAATTTGTTTTTTTGTTGCCGGTTAGATTTTATCTGCATATGTTATTGGCATGTTGAGTGGATTTTGAGTGGTGGGTTTCCGTTACTTGTGTCATGTCGGTATTATACTTGACATGCTAATAAATGTTTCCGTTCTCCTACTTTTGTTTGCGACCTCCTTAATCTAGGGTTTTGCGAATCCCTCTGGTATATTTAAGTTGATTGACAGGCATGCTTTGTTTTGGTGTACTAGATTAGAGTCAGGGAGCTCAATGCTTTTATGTGTATATATAGGTTACGCTTGCTCTGTTCTTGTAAATGGCGTTTCTTATTATTCCCCTAACATATCTGGATAGTAATATTGACTAAGTTACGCTTGCTCTGTTCTTGTAAATGGCGTTTCTTATTATTCCCCTAACATATCTGGATAGTAATATTGACTATGTCGTTTGAAACATTTGTTTTTTTGTTGCTGGTTAGATTTTATCTGCATATGTTATTGGCATGTTGAATGGATTTTGAGTGGCGGGTTTCCGTTACTTGTGTCATGTCGGTATTATACTTGACATGCTAATAAATGTTTCCGTTCTCCTACTTTTGTTTGCGACCTCCTTAATCTAGGGTTTTGCGAGTTCCCTCTGGTATATTTAAGTTGATTGACAGGCATTCTTTATTTTGGTGTACTAGATTAGAGTCAGGGAGCTCAATGCTTTTATGTGTATATATAGGTAACATTTGCTCTGTTCGTGTAACATATGGATAGTAATTTTGACTATGTCGGTTGAAAGATGTGTTTTTTTTGTTGCCGGTTAGATGTTGTCTGCACATGTTATTGGCACGTTGCATGGATTTTGAGTGGCGGGTTTCCGTTACTTGTGTCATGCCCGTATTATATTTGGCATGCTAATAAATGTTTCCTTTCTCTTACTTTTGTTTGCGACCTCCTTAATCTAGGGTTTTGCGAATTCCCTCTGGTATATTTAAGTTGATTGACAGTAGTGATGTCGTGCAACCCCCTGTTTTACCTAAGACTTTGTTGTTTACCTTTGTATATTGTGCTATTGTAGTAGCTATTCGCACGCAGAATGGAATTATGTAGTCTCTGATTGGAATAGAGTTGTTTGGTCACTAGAACTAGACATGGAACATAATGACTTGGTCATTTAGACATGGAACATAATGACTTGAACCATTCAGCGATTGCAATAGAAACAAATGGCTATTAATTGTGCTATATTCGCACGCAGAATGGAATTATGTAGTCTCTGATCGGAATAGAGTAGTTTGGTCACTAGACATGGAACATAATGACTTGGTCATTTAGACATGGAACATAATGACTTGAACCATTCGGCGATTGCGATAGAAACAAATGGCTATTAATTGCTGCATTGATAAATTATCAAAAGGGAGCTGCACAGATCATAAATTTCCGTATTTAGATAATCAAGTGGGCAAATTTTGTACCTAACTGTTTTTTAAAAGTAACGCTACACCTACAAAAACGTTCCACAAAACGCTACCTACGTGCTGACGTGGATAGTAGCAGCCATGCGTGCTAATTTGAACTTACCAACTAAAAGGTTTGACGTGGTAGTGGTGGTGGTTAGCCATGTCAGCACATAAGTATAGTTTTCGTATAACTTGTTTGTAGATGTCGTATTACTCCACTTTTCGAAGGTGCATCCCCTTTAGTATTGAGTTCTCTTTGGATATCATGTACGCTACCTTAGATGTTTATTATGAACTGAACTGCTAGAAATTGAATTACTCTGTGCGTCATAGATATGATTACGCTATGGAAACTTTGTCCTTACTAACTCGTTATTGTTGTTTTAATCTTCAGTTCAGGTGGCAGCACTTGCATTCCTTCACTATCTTGTGATGTTGGGTTCTACCGTCATGCTTGTATCAGTTATTGTTCCTCCCATGGGTGGTAATGCTGTAAGTGTTCAGTGCTTTGGCTGGCAGTAATTTGTTTCCTTTTGAAGGGTTAGTGTTTTCCCACCTCACATTTGTGCTTGTTACTGACAGGGTGACAAGGCTCGGGTTATTCAATCGTTCCTCTTTATGAGTGGAATAAATACACTGCTGCAAACACTTATTGGAACGAGACTTCCAACAGTTATGAATGCCTCTTTTGCATTTGTTGTCCCAGTACTGTCAATAGCAAGAGAGATCGAATCAAATAATGACTTGCTGAATAATCACGAGGTATAATGGTGCTCATTTGCTTGAACTTACACTTTTGGGTTTGAAATGGATGCTCGTCCATTTTTCTTATTGGGGTGTGGGTAAATTTGTTTGGAGCATAATCAATTCTTTATGATTGACTGCTTAAATATATTTTACTTCATAATACAAATAATTGTAACCTATTAGAGTGTTTGCAGAGATTTAAACACACAATGAGAACAGCACAAGGAGCTCTGATTGTGGCTTCCATCCTCAACATGATTCTTGGGTTCAGCACGATATGGGCGGCATATGCCAAGTATGGATCTTATAGTACTTGCTCTTAGGGTGAGAATAATAGTCCTCGCATGTTGTATTTGCCAAGATATTAACACTCAAATGATATTCTTTGCAGGAAGTTCAGTCCTGTAATAATGACCCCTGTTGTTTGTGTTGTTGGTCTTGGACTATTCGAACTTGGCTTTCCCCAGGTATGTTTCTGTACTTCTACAGCAAAACAGAACAGCTCATGAGGAAAAAAGGAAAAAGAAAAAGAAAAAGAAAAAGAAAAGGAAAGGCACCTTATAATGTTTGATTGTCAATTTAGGTTGGGAAATGTGTGGAGATTGGGCTTCCAATGCTAATTCTTGCGGTGATTGTGCAACAGGTAATGGCTTAATCTCTGTCGAATGTATTTCAAGTGAAACATTTATTCCTAGCATAGCCCTGCGTTACTTGCTGTTATAAAACTAGCTAGGAGATCAATGATGTGATATTGTGTATGCAGTATGTGCCAAATTACTTCGGTTATATCCATCAACGGGTCACCTTCTTGTTTGAGAGGTATTCGTTGCTTCTTTGTATCGGCATTGTGTGGGCCTTTGCAGCCATCCTTACTGCTGCGGGTGCATATGACCATGCTTCACTTAAGACACAGCAGCACTGCCGTACTGATAAGTCTTCCCTCATCTCATCGGCACCATGGTATGGCCATAAAGTTGATTCTTCGATCAAGATTTAAAGACCACCATTTTTTTTGGAGAAGCCATTTTAATCTACTTTCTGCATGCATATTCTTGTAGGATTAAAATTCCATTGCCATTCCAATGGGGTCCTCCAATCTTCACTGCTGGTCATTCATTTGGGATGATGGGTGCTGTACTTGTTGCAGCCTTTGAGGTTAAGACTTAACCTGATGCTTTTCTATCTCTAGATCATTCTTTTATCTTCTTTTTGGTATCCTTTTTTAAATTTGTTGTCTGTTATAGTCAACTGGAGCACACTTTGCTACTGCTCGTCTAGCGGGTGCTACACCACCTCCAGCTCATGTCCTTAGTCGGAGCGTTGGCTTGCAGGTTGGATCTATACCAGAGTTTCCTCTTGAAAGACTAGCGCTACTAACGTATTGTTACATCGTTTATTGCTGTCTTTCCATCTGAATGTGGATCCAGGAGATACTTCTCTGTTACTAATCTTTGTCAAAATGAGATTCTAAATTTAGTCCTTTGTAAATACTCTTAAACTTTCCTTTGTTACTTACCAAAATGCTTTGACTGGTGGATATGTTCTATTCTAGTGTAGCTCCTTACACTAATGTGATGTGACCATTTCTTGTGCTTACAAAATTTCGAGCCTTCTGATAAAATGTTCTCATGCAGGGTATTGGAATGTTCCTCGAGGGGATCTTTAGTTGTCCAGCAGGCTCATCTGTATCAGTGTAAGTAATCTTAGCTTTCTCCCCTATCTGTGAGGGTTTTCATTCTAGATAAAATTCTAGCACCTTCAAAATTTCCACCTTGGTTCCTAAAAATGCATGTAAAAGTTTTATGGTTGAACCTAGAACATGATACCCCAGAAAACTCAACTAAGATAAGGATTGTTATTAGAAGACATGCTTAACCATTACTGCTTGTTCTGAAAAAAATTCTTCTTTTTCCTTTTTCTTTTTGTCAATGCAGTGAAAATATTGGCCTCCTTGGGCTGACCAAAGTTGGAAGTAGGAGAGTGATCCAGATATCAACTGGGTTTATGATCTTCTTCTCCCTATTTGGTAATTTTTTTTTCATTTGGTTGCCAGGAGAGAATTTGCAACTCTTTTGCTCAAATTGTGAACTCCTATTTTTGCAGGGAAGTTTGGTGCCTTCTTTGCATCAATTCCATTGCCAATCTTTGCAGCAATTTACTGCATCTTGTTTGGCGTTGTAGGTGAGTCAAACTTCTTTCTTGTGTTTTTACATAGTTCTATAGATGAATTCTAGAGGCAGAACTTGGTGCAGATTCGTCATTCATAGACTAATTATCACTGAACTTTTGTTGATGTCAGCTGCTGTGGGAGTCTCCTTCATGCAGTTTGCCAACAAAAACTCCATGAGGAACATCTATATCATTGGACTCTCATTGTTCCTTGGCATATCAATCCCTCAATACTTCAATGAATACACTTCTTCAGCTGACGGCCGTGGACCTGCCCGGACAAATGCTGGATGGGTATTTGAAGCTTCTCCTTTTACATCTGTTACATTCAGTGTTTGTAGTTTGCATCACCCATCTACCATCTGCATGTGTTAAATTTTCTGCATGCCACATTAGTACACTCAGAGTCCGTAACTTGATGCTGCAGCTATGCCAGTTGTCAGGTTGCATCTTGGACTCTATACGACTATGCCAGAATTTTGACATCTAAATATGTCTTTATGCAGTTCAACGACATTATAAACACCGTGTTTGCTTCCGGCCCGACGGTGGCGCTAATTGTTGCTTCTGTCCTGGATAACACATTGGACTTCAGGGGACACGAGTCCGACCGGGGGCTCTCATGGTTTCAGCCATTCCTGCTTCGTCATAAAGGATACTCGGACCCCAGGAACGAGGAGTTCTATAGCTTCCCAATCAGGGTTCATGACTTCATCCCAAGCCGATTTCTCTGATTTCAGATGACTGCTGTTACCCGCAGCTGTGCATGTAAATCCCCGTGCTCTTGTTATGCTTACTCCTGTGACTTGTAGCGGTTGGTTCTAGGGGGACATGGGTAAAAGAATGTTTAGGGCATTTGCTTTGTTTAACTCTTTTGGGCTGAGAAATGGTTATACATGATAATGTAGAGAGCTCTGTGCCAGATACATGGTTTTGGGAAAGCTTACAGAAGAATAGCACCTTACATGTTGATGGGTTTTAAGTGCAAGGCATTGGTTCGTTTTTACCCATTGTATGGCTGTTGGAACTTGATCTGCCGTCTGGGAAAAGGGTTTTGACAATTTTATTTTACAAGATTTGTTCACAGTTATCACTTAAACTAGATGTCAGCCCTACCACGCTCGATGATATTGCCCTGGAAGGCTTGACATCAGTGGTGCGGTTTGTTGACAGTAACGAACTTAGTGGTGCAGTGGTCGCCAGGTGGGTGCCTGTGACCATTCAATGGAATTACAGGCACTGAATAACCTGACGCAAATCAAATGCTAGTATCTCACTTACATTTCTTGTGTGATATTGCCATCTCTTTCCTCTATAAAAGAAGTTGAAGGAGCAAGAGTGAACGACACAGTGCAGGCGTTCGCCTGAGGTAATTGCAGTGGCTTAGTGTAGTTGTAGGCTTGGAAAGCATCAGGAGGAGTGCTCGTTTCACTGTGAATGGGTGGCGTTCCTTGCTACATATAAGTGAAGAGGCAAGAAAACCGTGCAAGTACATACCATCCATGCTGGCCACATCTTGTCGGGGATGAGAAAGCAGAGGTTGGTGGAGAGCAGTAGTGCCTTTCAACCCCAAGAACCGTGAGTTGCAATGTTCAACCTGACAACATTGGAAAGAAAATAAGAGAGGAAAAATGGGCCATATCATGTTGCGATTTTAGATATTTATAACATCTGTAACTGTTTTTCTAGCTGATTGTCCTAAAAAAAAAATCTGTATCTGTTTTTCCTTAAGACTATCATTTTTCTCCTAACAGTTCGAGAGGTATTATCTTTGATTCGATGTTGGCTAATGAATGAGAAAATGTGGTTTATTATACTTGAAAAAGAAAAAGAAATATGTTGTCTGTTGGCCAACCTAGCTCACTGTAGCCTTTAGATTGGAAATGGAATGCTGATTCATACATACTGCACATCAAGAGTGCGTCTTGATCTGACGGCTAGGTATGGCGGCCGCCATACCTTGAGTTCGCCGGGGAACCCCTCTGAACCATGTCTGCCATGAATCTCTGTCTGGAGCTATTGAAGTCTAAATCGTGTCGACATGCCGAGGAAGAAGAACAACCTGTTATCTGGGCTGGCGTTTGCATTTCCGCACAAAGGCTACATGGGCCTTTTCTAATGGGCCGTAGGCATATTGATGCTGCAAGACGAGATCGACGTTCCTGCTGCCGAGCTCCAAAGTGGCGAACTGTGGCTGCACTACTCGGCACTCGTCACGAAGGTCGGTTTGTTATTTTCTTGTCTTGTTTGTTTAAATTGTCGGTCAATTACTTAATTTAGTTGCTTAATTTGTGAACCATAATGAACATATAATTAAATAAAGATGGATTCAAAAGAAAAGATCTAGGGCAATGCCAAAACTCCAGGTACATATTGCCTTTTGAACGTGGCAAATTTGGAATAAAATTATTTACCATTTGTGCATGTACATGCTAGTGAATTGGTGTTGATAGAATGCAGATTTGAAGACTTTTTTCTATGTATATCTATGTTCTTGCTTCTACATTTCGTACTTGACAATAACTACATATTTAATGTGCATAAAAGGCTATTTTTTTTCTCATAAAAGGACCTTATTTTGATTTTTTTTGCCTTTTATGTTATTTACTTGCCATACCTTAATTAATTATCATCCTCCGCCACTGGCAGATCCACGCCGCCGCCCTCCTCACAGATCCGTGCCAGGCACCACCGCGAGCGTTCTTGCTCGATCCGCCGCTGCGGGCGCTCGCCCTTGTCGCCGGCTAAGAGAGAGAGAGAGAGAGAGAGAGAGAGAGAGAGGGGTGATGAGGGAGGAGTGGAGGATGCCGTCGAGAGAGGGAGTGCACGAAAGAGAGGAGAGCGGCAACCGGTAGAGAGTGCAGACTAGGGTTTGGAGTTTCTCGTTTATATACTCTAACATCGATATCGGGCTGAGATGGGCCGATCGATTCATAAGGGCTTCGGGGCTATTTTCAGAGGTGGGACTCTTAACAGGTCCGGCTTTGTAAATGGTCCACATTTACAGAGGGAGATCTCTTAAGAGGTCCGCCTCTGTTAATCGGTTTTAGGAGATGGTTGTTTTATGAGTGTCTCCGTAAATAGGTTGCCCGTCTATGAAAACCACAACATATTTTTGGAGACAGGGACACTTTGCGCCCACCTCCGTTAATGTTTGGAACCTGTCTCCCCAAATCTTTTTTTGTAGTAGTGCTGTTTGTGGAGCTAATTTCTTTAGATGGGGATAAGATCAAAAAATTTCATTGTCATTCTTTCTAATAATAAAAAACAAATGTGAAAGATGATACACCAATACATCACATTGCAGGTAGACACTCCTCGACCATGCTCTCTTGCTCCTATGCATAGTATAGTTTGTCAAATATTCACCTAGACCCCAAGATTTCGGGACTTAGGTTGAGTATAGTTCTTGACCTCTTAGGGAGCCAATCTACATGCTAGGATGGGCTTCTTTTACCAAATTTTCAGGATAAATGTCCAGATGTTTCACCTAATTTATTATGTGTACATTTCGTTCTTTTGATAATCGTAAGCAACTGAATAAACATAGCTTGATCTTAGCTTCCCAAGGTTGGTTGATGGTACCTAATGCTACCAAATGGCAGAAGCAATATATGAACCCTGGCCTGAACTTAACAACTGAACAAACATGAAGTCAGTTGGTCCCCAACTGAATGAATATCACACAATGAACGGGAAGACAGTTCATCGGCTATGAATATCATACAACTGATTAAGATGAAGTAGGCTGCAGATGCTCAATAATATTTGAGTATATGAAATCAAACGGCACACACATCTTGACATAAAAGCACAAGTGAATGAGCATATAAACGTTATGGAGGCATAGGCTACTGGATAACTTTAGTGTCTTTTCTGAGTCAGGCTAGGAGGCATTGTCAATTTGAAACTCACTCATCTCACCCCTACCATGCTAGATGATTTTTTTTTTCATAGTTATCACTTAACTTGATCTCATCCCTACCATGCTCAATGGGATTCGCTAGAAGGCTTGAGCAATTTATCATGGAACATCAATGGTGGCCTCTGGTCGGTGCCCATTCATTGAAATTACACGCACTAAATAACCTGATGCAAATCAAATGCTAGTACCTACATTTATTGCCCTCTCTTTTGTTACTCTATAAATAAAGGAGCATGAGACCATTTGAAGGGTCACGGCATATGTTGGCGGTGCTTAACTCACATAATTAACTGCCAACACTTGCATAAAATCCTAGCATACAGACACCAAATTTAGACATAGGGCTTTAGAACTAACAATATCCACAAGTTTTGGTGTTTGACCATTTGCAGGCGGGCATTTATGGAATACATGGAAAATACATTAAAAATGCGCAAAGAAATAAAGCGTAACACCATATTGCGCAAAGCAACATAAGCCCAAGGGGGAGCAGGCCCATTACCAAACAAATCAGGGCCCAGACAAAAAAGAGAACAAGCCAAAACCGAAGCATAACAGCTCAACTCTGCGTCAAACACCCACAAGCCCACTCTAGAAGAACAAAGAATATCTCCCAACGAAATTGGACTCAAGGTGGCCCACTTAGGGTGCGGCCGCACCCCTGGTGGCTCGCCTCGGGCCCAACCTTGTCAGGGCGGTGCATTAATGGCCAGGGAAGTCGGTTAAGAGGGTTTGGTGGTGCAATTAATACGGTGGAGTGCGGTTTGCTCTTTCCATGGGGGAATAGGAATATTCCCTAGGATCCTTCCCCCTCCACCTGTAAAAGGAGGCCACCCCCTCCTCATTTCAACAACACACCAAGGAAGAGAGCAAGAAGCAAGAGCAACACTCTAAGGCTTAGGCCATAGCTATCTAGAGAAAAGTAGTAGGGAGAGATGTGAGGGAGAGTTCGGGGAAATGCCGGGCTTGTCGGTAGTCTTCCCACGCTTGTGCCTCGATGAATACATATACCTCAATGGATTCTTCCGCTAAGTGATTTGTGTTTCTTATGGTATTAAGTATTTTGTTTAGCTAAGCTTTACTCTTATTTGCTTGAGGGTTCATCGTCCGTTCTCGTAGCGGATACTCTAGTAGAGGGCTTCTGATAGAGACGGATAACCCTGACCGACGCTAGAGTAGTAGTCGATAGCGTAGACGTGGTGTCTAGGCTAGTGGCTACCTTTGTTTGCCTCGTGCCCCACGGTTGAGGGGTAGGCGGTAGGTGGTGACAGCCCTGTCCGTCCCATGTAATCCCCCACATCCGGGTTCGACGTAGAGCTAATGGCCAGTATCGCCAGAGGTGCACTCCGGTGCCCGAAGTAAGCAAGTAGAAGTAGAGTTTATCTGTCCTTAGACCCTAATACCCTAGGAATCCATCTCAACCTCTACCAACTCTATCCTTGTGTTGTCCTTGGACGAATTAGTTAGAACAAATACCTCCATTCTCTATACGTTACCCTGAATACTTCCCGGTGAAAGCTACAATGGTAATTCCGTACGCTTGCGGATTAATTCTGTAGATGTTAAGAAATACCAACAACATACATGCGAGAGAGATTGCTGTTTTGTTTTTCATGAAAATAGAGATGATGTGTTTGTTGACGGTAGTTATCATACATATTTTATCTGTCAATTAAACATGCATAAGGGTATAAATGAATCACTAAAGTAAACTTAGGGGTTTAAACTGACAAATTCCAAGAGTTTTGGCGAATCTGTGTTTCCAACAGGATTTAATCAGAAAACCGCTAAGGAGGACCTAATCGTCGA